CCCTCTTTGGCCAGGGTGTTTCCTGTACACCTCTTCGTGCACCTCTCCGGGGCCTCCTGCTCCGTAATCCAGGTGAGGCAGCAGAAAGCTTCCTCCCTTCCTACCAAAGGCTTAGTTTGTTGCTCTGAGTCATAGACCAAGACAAGGGGCAACCAAGAGCTTTTTCCTCTTCTTCCGTTAGGCCTCACAGTCGAAAAAACAGGCCCATTCATGTTATAGGAATCGGTTCACCCAAAGGACACACTGTGGTCACGGTTGGCAATTTTAGGGAACCAACAGAACACAGCCCCTGTGGAGCCTGAGGGTCCCTTGCTTTCCAGAAGCCTCCCTCATTCCTTCTCTCCATTTCCCCAGCCTCTCTCCTTGTCCTCACTCCTTGCTCCTCCCGTGAACTGGCATCAACTGATGAACGAGCAAGTTCCTACTACTCTCCATGAGAACACTCTATTCTTCTTCTGCACCTAGCTTCTCATTCTGCTTGGTTGAGGTTTTATGGTTTTACTGCGTTTTCTGTATTCCATGCTGATCTGGACCTCTGGGTCTCTGGGCTAACTCAGAGAGCTCTGGGACGTTCTCTCTGACCCCCTGTATTTTTTGGCTCTGTTTCAAGAGCTTGGCACTAACCAAGCATTGTAAGGACTAAAGAGACATTTGCACCTGCTAGACTTCCCTTCCTTTCCCCAGAGGAGAACTCACACTGGCCTTGGCAAGGGTCTTGATGGCCCCCACCTGGAATGCTCGCAGGTACACTGCCCCCCCCTACCACCACGAGGCTTCCACACATACCTCCCTTTCCAGCCTGGTTGCCTGCACTCAGACAGCTTGGGCATGGCACTTGGAGGGTATGTTTGAAGCTGAATGAACAGACAAGTCACTGTGGAAAGAGAAGCTCGGAGAAGTGATGTGTCTGTCTCTTCATAAGTTCTAAAAGAATTTGCAGGGATGAAAATGGTTGTCTTGATTTGGAAAAATCGAGAGCATTAGCACAATTTTCCTTTATATGTTTTCTATGTTTTAGAATATTTTTTCCAACTGAAAACACGAATGCTAAGAAGAATAGATGGGGAGAAAGGGCCCTTACTTTCTCAATGACTGGAGGCAAGTGGCTTTCCTGGAATGTGGGTTCCTTGTCATTCATGAGGGGTCAATTCCCACGGGGCCCCAGGTAGAAGTATAAGTTTGAGAGTGAAAGGCCTGGAGCCAGTCTGTCCCAGGGCACATCTGCTAAAATCTGATCTTTACTTGGCAATAGCTTCCAGGTCTAAGAAGCGTGCTGTGTGGCAAAGGCTACCTGAGAGGTAAGTGAAACCTTGAAGGAAGGTTCTTCATTTGGGAGCAAGTCAGCCCAACCCCACACCTGCCTGGACCACATTCCGAGAACCCAAGGACCCAGCCCTGCTCTGTGCCTCTGATATTTCCTGATGTTTCAGGCAACTTGGGCCAAATTCTCAGTGTGACTCTCTGGGCAGGTCCTGGACTCTGGTATAGAGGTAGGTGCAGCGAACAGAAGGAGATGGATTACTCTCAGGGCTGAACAGGGAAATGACTAAGCTTGAAGCACGCTTTACACCCTGTGAATGTTGCCTCTTTTCTCCTGAGCCAATCTGCTCTTGGTCTTTCCAGGTCTGTCCTGGGAGCCACCCTGCTCCCCGCAGAGATCAAAAGCTTTCTGACCTCGAGGACCCACATATGCTGCTCCCTCCACCTGTCGAGCCCTTTCTACCTCCTCCAGCACCCCTGTCAGCCTCTCTCAAGTCTTCTTCCAGAACTCACTGCCAGTGTCTACTTCCTTCTGCACTGCTGTCCTCCCACCCAAGGGCCTCCAACTCTTAGTATAGATTTTTTTGTACTTGCAGCCCTCCCGGTGTGCGGAGCAGTGCCTGATGCTCCTCCAGGAACAGCCAGGGGCCCAGTGCATGCCGTTCCTCCCCCAGTTGATCACTGCTCGCTCACTCAAGAGTCGCTTCCTCCCACAAGCTCCCCCAATCCAGGCCGTGTTGGTTGATGTTCTTGGGGCTCCCTGCTCTCTCCTTCTAGTACCAAACCTCATCCCACATTTATTAGGTGGACATCTGGTTGATCCCTGTCTCCTGCAATCCATGCTAAGGTTCAGAAAGTCAGGGATCACTCCCACCCTACTCCCTTGCTACACCTGCTATCTGGTGATTGCCGAGCTGATACTGAAGGGAGGACAGCAGGCAGGGTTCTCTACCAGCGTACATCTTCAGTGCTCCCAACAGTTGCTCAGAAATGCAGAGCTGTCCCCACCCGGACCTTGGTGTAGAGTGACTGGCCCATGCCTCACTGCTCAGCATTTGAGAGAAGCAGGAAAATGTCAGTGCAGGCCCTGTTCTGGTGTCTCCTGACTCCGTATGTGATGCCCCTTTCAGATGGAACTCACCCAAGGGAGCCAGGACTCGCAGACCCTCCACCCTCTGTCCTTGTCCCTGAGACACCCAGACAACGCCAGCCCCTGCTGCATGCTCGGAATCTCAGACTTGGCAATGACACTCCTAGGTGGTGGGGGGGGAGTGCCTAACCTCCCTGACACTAGGACACATGAGCCTAGAAAAGGTTGGGAAAGAGAGAAAGTTCATGCAATGGCTCATTGTCACTGGAGGGAGCAGGGTACAGGTGCCCCATTGGTCCATCAAGGGACTGCTCTCTGGGGAGCAAACACCACCTCTAGTTTTCAAGGGTACGCATTTCATGCAGTAGACACAGAGGTAGTGGGGACAGTCTGCCTTCTGGAGTCAAAAGGTCCTGTTACCCTCCCTGTGGCCTGGGTACATCCCCTCTTCACTCTGAGCCTGTACGGTGGGATGGCACTTATTAGAAAGGCTCTGTGGGATTAAATGAGGTCATGTGGACAAAGTGTCCATGGTGGTGCTGGGCACTTAGTGGGCTACAGCCAAGTTGGTTGTGACTGTCAGTAACCCATCTGTCCAGCAGGCGCCCTCATTGCTTAATGTGTTGGGTGGAAATCCAGGGCTGTGGCGACTGTGAATCAGGTAAGATCCCTTGGGATAAATGCTGGCCCACAGTAGCTCTCCGGGCTTGGTCTTCATCCAGCTTCCCCAGCCATAAACAGAGATGATTACCTCCAACCTTCTGTTGTTCCTTGTTAGGGTCTAGAGCCCTCTCAGCTGGGCAGAGATACTTCAGGGAACAAGCCCAGTGCCATGCTTGAGATGACCACTCTAGATTGGATTTGGGTGGCTGCCGATGGTCTGCAGGGAGCATAGCATTTGATTGGCAATTGTCCAGCTTAAGCATGGTCTTAAGTACTTGTAGCTTTGGGGGCCAGTGCAGAATCCCTCGAGTTAAAGGCTGAGCTTTACCCCTCACCAGCCCTATGGCCTTGGGCAGCTAATGAACTTTTCTGAGCCTCCTTTACATTACCATTAAAATGGGAGTCCTTCTGCCCAGGTTGGCATGGCTCAGTGGATTAAGTGCCAGCCTGAGAACTAAAGGGTCGCCAGTTTGATTCCCAGTCAGGGCACATGCCTGGGTTGTGGGCCAGGTCCCCAGTAGGGGGCAAGTGAGAGGCAACCCCATATTGATGTTTCTCTCCCTCTCTTTCTCCCCACTTCTTCTCTCTCTAAAAATAAATAGATAAAATCTTTAAACAAGGAGTTGATAAGACCTTTGTTTTAAATTAGTGAGTACCAATAGGGAAACTGCTGTGCAGTTACTGGGTTTTGTTTGTTTGTTTTTGTTACTTTGGGGGGATTTCACTGAGGGCTGTGGCTTTCTTTGGCTACCTTGTCTGAGGCGTGTCCCCACTAAAGTCCTTTGGGAGGGAGAAGATGTCCTCCCAGGCCTAAATGACTCAGTATAAGACACCTGGGTGGGTGAGGACTTGGGGGAGGCCCTGACAATCTCACAGCCCATGTGCTCACGAAGGCTCATCCTGAGAGAGAGGTCCTGCTCTGGGGACCTGGTAGGAGAGGGGGGCAATGGGCCCTGGGACAATGGTCCTCTGGGTCACAGGCCACCAAAGCCAACAGCCCCTAGGAAGTTCACGGGGGGGGGGGGGGGGCAGTGTGATTTTCTCACCTCAAATGCCTGGTCTCTCTCCAAAAGAGGCCAGAATGGGTACCACATAGGAAAGGATTTTCGTTTGGGAAAATGTGTTCAGGAATTTACTTCTTATCAAAGGGAAGGAAAGAGAGCTGTATAGAGGGAAAGGGTGAGGGTCCCACTGGAGAGAGGAGAGCTGGATGCCTGCTACCAGCTGTGGGGGAAGCCACCAAAGCGCTGAGGAGTCTGAGCTGGGCGCACGCCCTGGGAAGAGCGCCTTAATTTAAACAAACAGGCAACTACGCGAGTGTCATACTCCTTTAAAAGAATAAAGGAAGGAGGAGGAGGAGAAGGAGAAGAAGAAAAGAAATTGTGGTCCAGAAAACCAAACAAACATGAAAACAAGAACAAGCCCCACAGTTAAGAGGCAGTCAAAGTGCAGGAGGAAGAGGAACAATCCCATCGCTGAGACGCCAGCTGTCCCCTCGGAGTGAAAGGGATAAATCTGATCATGTCCCCTGGGTGCAATGCAGATCTGCCCCAGCAGCAGCGGCGGCGGCTCCAGCAGCCCTCCTCCGGGGCTGGCACTGCTTGAAAGCGTCCTACCCTAAGAGGGACAGACTCACAGCTAAAGCTCACAGTGATCTAAGGTTGCACACGGTTTCCAGCACAGAAAGAAGGGGTGGACGGTTAGAGATGCTCTTGGCAACGCTCTTGCAGATTCCTCGGGGAGCAGGACTAGGAACTTGGCCCACCGTGAGCCTGGACTCGGAGGTCGCGAATAATAACGCACCCCTGCAGAAAGACGAGGGACCCAACTTAAGAGTTAAAGCAACAGCACCTCAAGGGCGCCACAGTGAGGAACTTGGGGACATAGCATCCCGAAGGGTTGGTGATCACCTGCGAAGAGTGCACAAACTAAGTGGCTTATTCTTGTTCTCCGAGGGAGGTGGCACAGGAGGTGGGACACAGGGCAAGGCCGCAGCCCTCGTTCCACAGCCGAGACGCGCCCCTCTGAGTGGTCAGGGCGGTGTCAGCAGCGCGCCCCCCTCTCCCCAATCAAGTAACTTGGGGCGCGCCCCGCGGTAAGTCGGGCGGGGCAGGCGGCGGCCTGGGCTCCTCCCTCCTCCTCCTCCCGGCGCCCCTGCTCTTAATCCGCGCGCGGGGGCGCCCGGCCACTGGCCTCTGCCTAGCCAGCCAGCGGTCATCGCGGAGCCGGAGCCGCGCGTCCAGTCCCGAGGCCGACGCAGCCCTCCGGCATGGCCCCTGCAGCGACATCAGGGGGCAGCTCCCTGCCCAGCGGCCTCGCTGTCTTCACTACCTTCCCTGACCTGCTCTTCATCCCTGAGTTTGTGAGTGGATCTCGTGGCCGCGCCGGGGAGTGGGGAGGATGGGCGGTCCGCACCAGATTCAAGAGCTGCACCGGTCTGGCCACATCGGAGTAGGGGGGCCAGGGTGAGGAGGGTCTCCCCCTCCCAGATACCTCTCCCCTTCCAGTCGTTTGGTCCCTTCTGGACCAACGACAATGGGGAACACAGACTTAGAAGGAAAATCAAATACTCAGCCTGGGTCAGATGTTGGAAGTCAGCCAGGTCTCTTAGTTGTGCGCAGGTTCCAAAACTGCACCCGAGACCCGCTTGCATGGGCCAAGCAAAAGAAGCCCTTATTGAAAAGCAATGTCTGCAGGGAGGTGCCCAACTTTGTCTAGAGCGTTAGGATTTCGTTCTTTAAAGTCTGCAAAAGTTCACCTGTCGACATTTCGAGGTGGGGCTTGTGTCCTTGAAGGAGCCGAATCCAGATCATTCCCTTCTGGCCTTTGAAAGTTTCTGGCAAGTGAATGTATTTAAGACAGTCTTTGATATGGAAATAATAAAACAGGCCGTGGTTTGCTCTACCAGTCATTCTGCCGTGTGTGTGTGTGTGTGTGTGTGTGTGTGTGTGTGTGTGTGAGAGAGAGAGAGAGAGAGAGAGAGAGAGGTGGGGGGGCGGGCTGCTGGCAGAGCGAACCTGCGCCTGGGCTGACCTTGAACAGTCAAGGCCTCTGCAGCTGCCATTGGTCTCTCCTTCCCCAGTGGCTGCAGGGTGGTAAGGTGCTCCCCAGAGGCCGCCAGCTCTTACCTGGAAGGGGGCCAGCTGTGTTTGCTCAGTGGGTGCGTATGGGACAGGCACAGAGCCTCCTTTCCTGCACCCCTGCCTCAGAGGGCACTGCCGAGAGGGTCGGTTGGGGGAAAGGTGGCCTCACGGAGACAGGAGAGTGATCAGCCAGGGAAGCAGGTGCCGTCGTCCATGGAGGATTTGGTGGCAGAGATCACTGAACTTTCGAGAGGTGGCCCAAACCTGGGTGTGTCCAGAGGGATTTCAAATCCCAGGGCAAGCCAGAATCAAGGAAGTGACATGTAGAAGAAGCCCTGGGTACCCCTGAGTTCAACCCCACCGGCCTGTAGAGAGGGACACACACCGCCTCCAGAGAGAGGAAGGGCTTGTGCCACTGGAACATTCTTTCCCGAAATGGCCCATTCCGGGCTTCTATTCAGCTCGCAGCCTGTGCTCGCCTGAGGCTGGATTTCTGAAAATCCGAGCATGCAGTGCTCCTTTGGAATGGGAGCTCCTTTACAGGCTACCGTACTGTTTTTACAAAGGGAGAGTTTCATGACCAAAGAGATGATGGCTAATGGTCAGGTGTGATGGGGCAGAGACGTTGTTAAACAACCGAAGCTCTTCTTAGTGTCTCTTAAATTGCTTCAATGCGTGGTTCACACTGCCTGTGTCATTGTTTGGGAAGCATTATAACAAGAACCTTAAGAGAGTGTGTTAGTTGGACTCCATGCAGAGGATTCTGATGTGCCCTCCTTCTCTTGCCTTCACAAGAGCTGACTAAGGTAGCAGCAGGTGGTGGCTGATATCAGGCGTCTGGCTTCATAAGAAGAATAGCTTCCAGGAGTCTTCTGCTTCTTCTTGGTATGGCAGCTTAGGGGAAGGAGTGCCCCTGAGGGTAGGAACAGCCCAGCAGGCAGGGTGATCTTCAGAGGAGGGGACAGAAGGACCCCCCACCCCCATCAAGCCATCAAGTGAAAGAAGAGAACGGAGTTGTGGGAAAGAGAATTGGAGCCAGGGATTAGTGGAAACTTACTCCTCCGGGGCTGTATGTGACCTGCGGCGACGGGGCTTCCAGAACTAATTCTTCCTTGACAGAACACTTCCTTCTCAGCTGCCTTAGAAGTCTTTTTTTCTCTTCTGCCTCACACCCTGCTCCCTCTGTCCTTTTCCCGGGAGGCTGATGCATCCGTTGTCTTCTCTCTCTCTCCCTGTCTAGGTTGGGGTGGGCTCCCAGGGGGCTGGGAGAGCAGAAAAGAAGGTTGACACAGTCCTGTGAGTTTTCCTCTGCAGCAGTGTAGACAGAAAGCTACAGGGTTGGTGTGCGGATGTGCAGGAAAAGTAAAGGATTAAAGGGCCAAGGAGGTGCTGCCACCCTGGGAGGTATTTTTAAATTTTGGACTGTTACAACTCCACGACAGAAAGATAAACAACCAGTTAAAAAATGAGCAAAGGACATGAACAGATACTTCTCCAAAGAAGATACACACATAGCCAATAAGCCCATGAAAAGGTGCTCAACATCATTAAGGAAAACAGTCCCCAAAACACAGTGAGGTGCCACCTCACACAAAATTAGGACGACATAAAACAATGGAAAATGGTAAACACTGCCTGGGGTGTGGAGAAAACGGAATCCTCATTCAATGCTGATGGGAAGGTAAAACGACCATGTGACCCAGCAGTTCCACCCCTGGGTTTGCAACCAAAGGAACTGAAAGCGGGGGCCTGACCAGCTGTGTGGATGGGCATGTTCACAACGGCACCATTCACAATGGCCAGCAGGTAGAGATGGCCCGGAGGTCCATCGACAGATGAGCAGATAAATGAATTGTGATATATCCATAGAATGATGTATTTGCCAGCCATTGAAAGGAATCAAGTACTAATACATACTATAAAGTTGAGAAACCTTGAAAACACCATGGGAGGTAGAGGAAGCCAGACAGAAAAAGTCACCTATTGTCTGGTTCCATTCACATAAAATGCCTGGGACAGGTGAGTGTGCAGAGACAGAACACACACCGGTGGTCAGGACAGGTGAGTGTGCAGAGACAGAACACACACCGGTGGTCAGGACAGGTGAGTGTCCAGAGACAGAACACACACTGGTGGTCAGGACAGGTGAGTGTGCAGAGACAGAACACACACCGGTGGTCAGGACAGGTGAGTGTGCGGAGACAGAACGCACACTGGTGGTCAGGACAGGTGAGTGTGCAGACAGAACACACACTGGTGGTCAGGACAGGTGAGTGTCCAGAGACAGAACACACACCGGTGGTCAGGACAGGTGAGTGTGCAGACAGAACACACACCGGTGGTCGGGACAGGTGAGTGTGCAGAGACAGAACACACACCGGTGGTCAGGACAGGTGAGTGTGCAGACAGAACACACACTGGTGGTCAGGATAAGGATAGGTGAGTGTGCAGACAGAACACACACCAGTGGTCAGGACAGGTGAGTGTCCAGAGACAGAACACACACTGGTGGTCAGGACAGGTGAGTGTGCAGACAGAACACACACTGGTGGTCAGGATAGGTGAGTGTGCAGACAGAACACACACTGGTGGTCAGGATAAGGATAGGTGAGTGTGCAGACAGAACACACACCGGTGGTCAGGACAGGTGAGTGTGCAGACAGAACACACACTGGTGGTCAGGATAAGGATAGGTGAGTGTGCAGACAGAACACACACCGGTGGTCAGGACAGGTGAGTGTGCAGAGACAGAACACACACCGGTGGTCAGGACAGGTGAGTGTGCAGACAGAACACACACTGGTGGTCAGGACAGGTGAGTGTCCAGAGACAGAACACACACTGGTGGTCAGGACAGGTGAGTGTCCAGAGACAGAACACACACTGGTGGTCAGGACAGGTGAGTGTGCAGACAGAACACACACCGGTGGTCAGGACAGGTGAGTGTGCAGAGACAGAACACACACCAGTGGTCAGGACAGGTGAGTGTGCGGAGACAGAACGCACACTGGTGGTCAGGACAGGTGAGTGTGCAGAGACAGAACACACACCGGTGGTCAGGACAGGTGAGTGTGCAGAGACAGAACACACACCGGTGGTCAGGACAGGTGAGTGTGCAGACAGAACACACACCGGTGGTCAGGACAGGTGAGTGTGCAGAGACAGAACACACACCGGTGGTCAGGACAGGTGAGTGTGCAGACAGAACACACACCGGTGGTCAGGACAGGTGAGTGTGCAGACAGAACACACACCGGTGGTCGGGACAGGTGAGTGTGCAGACAGAACACACACCGGTGGTCGGGACAGGTGAGTGTGCAGACAGAACACACACCGGTGGTCGGGACAGGTGAGTGTCCAGAGACAGAACACACACCGGTGGTCGGGACAGGTGAGTGTGCAGAGACAGAACACACACCGGTGGTCAGGACAGGTGAGTGTCCAGAGACAGAACACACACCGGTGGTCAGGACAGGTGAGTGTGCAGACAGAACACACACCGGTGGTCAGGACAGGTGAGTGTGTGCAGACAGAACGCACACCGGTGGCGGCCAGGGGCTGAGAGGGGAGGGGAGAGGAGCGCAACTGCTGAGTGGGTGCGGGTTTCCTTTTGCAGTAATGGGAGTGTCTGGACAATCGATGGCCATGGTGGTGGCCCAACATTGTCAAAATATTAAAGGTCATTGAATTGGCTAGCTTAAAATGGTTAATTTTATGCTGTTTGTACATCATTTCAATTTTTAAAAATTGTAAAAATATTTCATCTCACAGGAAAGTACATATATACACACGTGCTTTAATAGGCATCCAGGTAATTACCACTCAGCTTGTTAAACCTTAATATTTTGCCTTATTACTTTTAGTATGAAGGAAATAGAGCTTTTCCAATGGCATCGAAGCCCACTCGATATGCTATTACATCATGCTGCTCCACACACCCCCAGGGCCACCCTCAGGCTGAGTGCTGTGAGCTGCCGGTGGGCTGCTCCCTCTGTCCGAGGGCGTAGCGCACAGCGTCCTCCCGCACACCCCTTCCTGCAGCACGCTTTCCATGCGCCGTCCTCGCAGGTTTATGCCTGTCCACGCCAGGTTGTTCTGATGTACACGCCCCTGGAGCAGACTTCCTGGGATGCTGCTGAGACTTAACTAGGCTCAGGACCCCCACTGGCTCAGCCTCTTCCAAGACTCTGACCTATTGTGTATTCTTTTATAAAGAAGGTCCCCAAATTGTATAAGCTTCAGGCTAAACCAGGACCTTCCTGATTCTTACCAGCACCCT